ACTTCTCCACCTGCGCAGATGAAACTTTTATCCAAAACAAAATAATTTCCTAGTCTAGTGGTACGCATAATACTTTGGCATGTTTCACTTGTTACCACAGGAAGTTCCACTCTCTTCAAGATCACTTGATAACGTCCCTCTTTGCCTATAATTAAATATCAGCAAATAAGATTACTATATCATCTTGCACTAATCTAGAATTTAGTTTTTCGATCATTAATGTATATATGTGTTTTGCGCTATTATTGGTCTTATATATATATATATATAATAAACCGTTATAATTAATTATACTTATCTTTGTGTCTCATTAACAAAATTAACATAATCACATATTTAAAAATATATGACAGAGAGACAAAATACTATTATATTTTTTGATTTGTATACACTTGTAAATTAAAATTTGTTGAAGATTGTAGAGAATTTCAATTAACCGCTCGGATTATGACCAATAATAGCGCAAAACACATATGTACATTAATGATTGAAATATATATATATATAAATGATCAGTTATCGTTTCAATTATTGTCTCGTGTTAAAGACATATTAAGACGTTTAATCAATGGATATTCGTTCTTTTTTGTACTTTTGCATATTGCTTACCGAATACGTCTTTTCCCCATCCACTGGCGAAACATCTGGATCCGTCAAAATTCGTGTCCACTTCTGGTAGACAGACGATATCTACATTCTCCGCGTACTCGACCGGGCTTTTCAAGATCAGTATAGCGTAATCGTTGTAAAGTGCGCCGGAATGATAGCTCTCGTGAACCACGACTTTTTCGACGTCGCGGTCCTGATGCGGGTAGATCTCGTTCTTCGTCTGCGTGTCCCATTCTCCCGCGCGGACTTTGAGTTCGTTTGGCTGTTTTCTGTTGATCGAAATGTATTGTTAAATTAGAGAAAATAACGAAGAAAGAGCAAGATGCAAAATGTTAAGATCTTGTTCTTATTTTCGTACTCGAAATAACACTTATTTCTATACTTTCATTCGTATATTTGAGACAAGACTTATTTTGAAGTAATACTCTATTGTAATTCTCGACATAGTCGAATATATTCTCTTGCCAAATCGAAAGATTTTTCAAAAAGATTTGTAATATCTGTGTGTCCTAAATTAATTCATATTCACTCATTCAATTGCGTTAACGCGACGCCAGTTGCGGTTGATTGTATTTCCTTCTATCTCATTTAAAACTATCTTGTTCGAGACCACGATTGAAGAATAGATAATCTTAACATTTTGCTAACTAAGGTTATCAAATATGACGTTGTCATTTGCTATCATAACAATATTTATAACAAGTCGAATACTGACCCATTAACGCAATGAGCCGCAGTGAGAACGGCTTGTCGGTGGATAAGTGCACCGCCGCATTGATAAACATTCAATTTTTGGCCGTTTTCGCCGATGGCCTCTTCTTTCAAGATAGCCACCATCCACGGAAACTCGCCGAACTGGGCCTCGTTATCGGTCTGGCCGGTGATCCTAAAACCAACTCCTTCAGCATGTCGTTGTCCACATCCGATTCTATCGTTCGGTCGCGGCGTGGATGGTGCCTGTCGATCCGGCGGTTTGCAACAAACGTCCAAATAATTCTCGCATGGTCCAAGAGCTCTAAATATCCAACCAAATAATTGTGAAAACGTCACGATCGATTATTCTCATTATTGATTAATTTTATACTACGAATAGCGACGCGTCATTTATTCGCATCTAAATAAGCAAGTAACAGAAAAGTCTGAAAAGCATCTCTAAAAGAGTTTCAATGAATATCTGAAAGAGAGAAAGAGAGAGATCAATAAAACATATTGTTTCTATTTTTTTAAATTTTGGACCTTTGAATAAAATGTTTTTTTATTTCGCTAATAACGAAAATTTATTAAATTATGTTTGTATATTAAAAGATTGCAGGTTCAAAATTTCGTGACATAAAACGATTTAAATATTAGACAGTTGCTAAGTTGTAAGAATATTACACCATCATTTTATATATATTGATATATAAGAGAAATTATGAAAAATGAGCAATTCTCTATGTTTGTCAATAGTTTCTTTTCTGTACGATTTAATTGCTTATCGAATGGAAATTATATGTGCTTAAATTAACAATGGAAATTATTATTTATTAGCAGTTCTAGAGAGGAGGATTTTATTTCCCAAAGATAGTCTCATGCGGCGTACATAGTACGTTTAGAGATGACATGCTTAAAATAAATAGTCAGTTTGAAACTCAAAACCACAGCGCACTTGATTTTTTTATAATTAATCATAGTATTCACTATAAATTAGCAAGATGGAAATGTCTGTATGTACATACATGCAGACATTTCCATCTTGCTCAGTCACGCACGGAGAACATTTTTAGCTAATTGCAAACGGCGCCAGTAAACAATTAATGATGACCGTGATACCGTGTGTGATATTGTAAATATTTCAGAGTTATATTTTTCTTTAATTCTGCAATTTCAACTACTATAATTAAATGATACTTCGATTACTCACAATTATAATAATTAGAGAGCCAGTTTTTTTAACATTGTGCCCTCGATAAGCAATCGCCGCGTAGAATATGTTTAATTACGTTGTCATTTATGAATGCACAGCATTGTGTCGAGAGCTGAGCACTGTACATGTATAACAAAAGAAATCGTAAACCGTTTCTAGTTCAGCAATATTGACGCACTATTACTTCCGCTTTCCTTCTAACGTAATCATCCTCCGTGTATGACTCAAACTATTTGTTGTAACTATCATGCTATAAACGCATTCGATGACTATATTGTACATTATAAAGATGCAAGTATAATGATAAATAATATAGATGTTTTTTGTCAATTTACAAAGGAATTTGTAACAAAAAGTTACGCTTTTTAAAAACATTATCTAAAAACATCTTCACATAATAAAAGATAATATATTTGCTACAAATTATTAAGAAAGGAAGTTAAATATTTTTATAATATTGTTCTATTATTACTTTATATAAAACAGAAAATAATAATAATTATTATTATTAATAGTTGGTTATCATTTTTTTAATTGAAATAAGTATTTTTAAGTCAAATACTTATATATATAAATAATATTAACTGATAATAAATGCATTTAGTACAGTTAACTATAAATAAGATATTAAAATTTATAATACTATATATATTTATACTACATTTATCTACATATCTACATATATCTGGATAATGAAAAGATAATGTTATAATTATAGGATACCATTACCAAATTTAACTAAAACCCGGGAAATCAATGTAAATAAATTTGAGAATAAGAGAATGTAATACTAGTCATTATCGGGAATACCAAAACCATAATTGTTATTAAAGTTTTCCGACCTTGATCTTACTGCGTCGTTATTCGGCAAATTTCGTACACGTCGAAAAAATTTCACAGCATGCCGCAATCCATCCGCCGGTAGAGAACCGGCCGAGACTTCGATCTTTGGTCAATAAACTCACCCCTGGGACTTGTTATCATCAGCACCGAACCTGATATCGATGATACCGATCCCGTTGTCCAGGATCTTGCCTTCCTTGCACTGATAGTAGGGCACGCATTCGCAATTGTCGAGTTTCGGGGGCGGTGTATTTTGCGTGCCGAGATAGAGATTTTTCGGCGTAGTGGTGGTGATGTTTCCGCTCTTGAAGACGTCATTGATCAGGCTGTCAATATCGCCGTCTATCTGAGGCACCGATTGAGGGGTCGTCTTGGTTTCGGGAAAAGTCTGGTCGATGAGACTGTCGAGGCTACCGCTGTCCTGCTGTGCCGCTGGCAACGATGCTACCAAGGCTACGCTGACCAAGGTCAACATAAAAACCAGTCGCCACATAGTTCGTACCACGGACTATCTGAAGCAGATACGATGAAGTGGTGTAATATAACCGCGAGGCAATGCAGAACGCAATCGTCCTCGAACGGTCTACAATGAAAAATTCTCACAATGATTGTTTTTTTTT